AGAGAGAAAGTGGCAAGCTGCCAGGTCCAGGACTCGACCATGGTCGACCGTGTGGGAGTCCAGCGCCCTCAACCACCACACCATTTTCCGCCCCTCCCCCACCCCAGATTACTGTTTTCATTAACCTCTCTTTAGATGCCCCACTTTAGTTGATTTCCACAGAGTAGGGACTGCTGACTTAGAGATTCTTTGAAGCCTAAAAGGTGGAGAAAAACAAATGTTGGCTCTGTGGCTTGTGGGTGAGTATTTATTTATTTATTTATTTTGGAGAGGTTTTTGCTATAGGGCTTGTGCGCTCCCCAGAAAGACAGAGAGAGACAGAGAGATAAAAAGCGAGAAATCACCCCCCAGGGGGGATGGCCATGCCACAATCCCTTCTCCTCCATTCTCCTCTCGAGATCTTGGGCATGCACGCACACACGTCTGGCATGAGCTTAAGCTGCCGGGTCTGGGACTCAAACCACGGTCGACTACATGGGAGTCCAGCGACATAGCCATTACACTAACTGCTGGTCCCGTGGGTGAGAATTTAAGAGCAAAGAAATGCTGAGAAAGTTGACATCTGGTAAAATGGAAGGGGAGCCCAACGCTATTTGCATTATTTATGTATCAACTGGCCATTCTTCAAAAGGCCCTTTACAGCAGAAGCTGGGTACTGAGCTTATAGTCAATGGTGCCTCCACTCCTGACTCTTTTGGGAAAACAGCCCATCTGGAAACACAGAGATAGCTTCTCAGCTAAATCCATTACTTAACCTGACTCCTACTGCATGCTGCCCAGGCTTGCCCTGAGCGGTCAGCACGATGCCTGGAAGTGGGTCTGGTGCTCTGCTCTGCACCTTCATCCCTAGGACACCTATCAGGAGGAGCCCCTGTGTGCAAGTGCTTCTCTACTGAGCACCAACAAGATCTGAAGTGCTGTAGAGGTTGGATGGGGTTGAGGTGGGAGAGTGTGTGGGGGGGATGGTGCCTTAGGCTGGAAAGGTCACTGAGGCAAGGCAGAGCAGTGTCACTGGGGCTGGAGTCTGCAGAACAGTAGAGTCCCACAGTTACTGAGGTTTTTTGTTTGTTTGTTTGGAGAGGTTTCATAGGGCGCGTGTGCTCGCCAGAAAGACAGAAAGCAAGAAGTTACTCCCCAGAAGGAACAGTCGGCCACTCTGCAATCCCTTCTTCTCTTGGGATCTTGGGAACACACGCACATGGGCCTGGCGTGAGTTTATGCCACGGAGTTCGGGACTTGAATCACTCTCACATGGGAGTCCATCTGCTGGTCCCAGTACTAAGCTTTTCAAACCACATGCATTGCGCTCACCTAACCCTCTCGACCCTCTGACATTTCGCACCGTTGGGGAAATGGACAGTCCGCCCAGTCCCCATACGGACAACCTGGGATTTCAGCACGATGCAGAGCTCTGGCTAATTTGGACACTTGCTGAACAAAGATCCAGAATCAGGTCTTCGGGGCTCCTGGAGGAGCCCACTTTCTGGCAGGCTTGCAAGGAAGGATGCAGTTAGCTAGCAACGCCTGAGGACACCGAGGCCCGGGCTGGCCGACGGCTGCAGGCGGGAGGAGGCGACGCGTGGCAGGATCCTTGTGGTCGATCCCCGCCCGCAGCCCCCACACCCTCACTGGCTCTCGGGCTGGCCGGAATCACGGAGAGAAGGCTCCGCCTTCCGGGGGAGACGGAAGTCCCCTTGGCCGCCTTCGGAGCCCGCAGAGGGAGCCGGCGGCCGGGCCCCTCGCACTTACCTCTCAGTCGGCGGGCGCGCCCTTCCCTGCCCTGTGTGCCCCAGCGGTCGGCGAGCGCGCGAGTTGGTCCCGCTTCCGAGGACTGCTCACTCGTCCCGCAGCGGCAGCGAACCGGGGAAGACGCGCAGGCACTGCAGCCGTCCTGCCGGGGGCCCGCACGTGTCCACTCCTGCCTCCGAGGCACTGCGGCTGGCCTGGCGTTACTGACTGGAGCCTGCGGTCGGGCAACCTCGGCGAAAGTTCAGTAGCACTGTGTGAGCTGGATTCTTGGTCAGGGGAGCTCCGTGAGCATCATGACTGCGCATGTCCCCAAGAATGTGGTCTAACCTGAGATGTACACATATGTACATGTATGTGTCTGTGTACGCACTGAGAGCCTGCGATACACCCACCCGAGGTAGGATTTCACGTTATTTCTATTTTGGATTAAGTGTCAGAGCATGTATTCCTTGTATAAAAAAATGAAAACCATTTTATTCTGGGAGAATTAAAGAAAAAGCAATAAAACTGTGGTTAGAGATTTGGTTCAACATTTAGGTGTTTAAAACACCGGAGTTTATTTTGTATATAGTATACCCGTATTGGGAGAATATTACAACAGATGAAGAGAGGTGTCAGCAAGACATCTGGTGTATTGACCAACCAGTGTGGTACAGCAATTCCTCATCAAGTCAGTCACCACCTGTAAACAATTTGTTCTGGGGCCAGCCGGTTGGTGGTGGTTAGGGTGCCAGACTCCCACATGGCTAACCCCATTCAAATCTCAGACCTGGAGGCTTGAAACTCACGTGGGGCACATGTGCATGCCCAGGATCCTGGGAGGAGAATAGAGAAGGGATTGTAGAGTGGCCGGCCTGTGTGTTTGTGTGTGTGTGTGTGTGTGTGTGTGTGTGTGAATCCTTCCTTCCTTCTTTCCTTCCTTCCTTCCTCTCCCTCCCTCCCTTCCTTCTTTCTCTCCCTCTCTCTCCCCCCCACCCCCAGCAAGTACACACACCCTATAACAAAAATCTCTTTAAAAAAGTGTGCCGATAACCATGTGTACCAGCCAATCTTGAGTTCCAGGAGATCTACAAACACAAAATGATCATTAAGGCACACACTTTTTAACAAAAAAGTTTAAAGCAAATTACAGAGCAGAACCTATAGTTTTATTTATAAAAGGAGAATCAAATACCCTATGTGTATAGAAAAATATTTAGAAAAATGACTGAAAAGATATACTCCAAGTTATTGATAATCTCTTGGGAAGGGATGGATTAGTTGGGCCTAGTGGAAGAGTGGATATAAAAATGACTGCATACTTTTATTATTTTCTAAATACATAAGTGAAGATATATTTACATGTAACTTGTAATTAGAAAACTAAGATAAAGGGGCCAGCAGGTACGTGATGGTTAAGGTGCTGGACTTCCTCATAGTCCACAATGGTTCAAGACCTGGACCCAACTGCTTGAAAACCATGGCAGGCACACATACATGCATGTGCGTGCCCAAAATTATAAGAGAATGGAGGAGAGGGGACTGTGGTGTGGCTACACCTCTCTTGAGTTCCAGGAGATCTACAAACACAAAATGATCATTAAGGCACACACTTTTTAACAAAAAAGTTTAAAGCAAATTACAGAGCAGAACCTATAGTTTTATTTATAAAAGGAGAATCAAATACCCTATGTGTATAGAAAAATATTTAGAAAAATGACTGAAAAGATATACTCCAAGTTATTGATAATCTCTTGGGAAGGGATGGATTAGTTGGGCCTAGTGGAAGAGTGGATATAAAAATGACTGCATACTTTTATTATTTTCTAAATACATAAGTGAAGATATATTTACATGTAACTTGTAATTAGAAAACTAAGATAAAGGGGCCAGCAGGTACGTGATGGTTAAGGTGCTGGACTTCCTCATAGTCCACAATGGTTCAAGACCTGGACCCAACTGCTTGAAAACCATGGCAGGCACACATACATGCATGTGCGTGCCCAAAATTATAAGAGAATGGAGGAGAGGGGACTGTGGTGTGGCTACACCTCCCTTTCCCTTTCTGTCTCTGTCTCTCTCCAGCGAATGCACATACCCTGTGGCAAAACCCTAGAAAAGAAAAGAAAGAAAACCACCAAGATTTTTAAAAAGAGCCTCAGAGAATTAGAACGAGCCAGTATCTCCAGCACCATCCAGGAAGAGGATGCTGTGGGGTTTGGCACCTGAATGTCCATCCTCTGGTCCTTGTATGTTCTTTAGGACATGAGGGTTTCGAAGTTAGATGGCACTAACACTACCTAAGAATTCATTTTTCTCCAATTCTGTGCTTTCCCAAGGACTGTCTTGATAACAAGGATCTGCTTCCAATTGTTTTTCTCTAGTGAAGAGAATGTGTTAACCAGTGTGAAGATGTTTCACGGTAAATAATAAAATGAGCTTGCTGTCTATATAATTTTTCTTGTAAATTTGGTTAGTATCCTTCAGATTCTGAAGCATTTCTTTGCCTGCAAAGTTTAGGATCAGATCCTGGACCATGATGTTATAGTTGAATTACTGTCTAGTAAAGCTTCTTCCTTGTATCTAATTTTTCTGAAACAAAGTAGTGATATGTTATTTTATCTTAGTAAGTAGAACTTAGGTGTTCAAACCCATAGATTTACCAGCTGGATCTAAGCAGAAAGCTGTAGAGACTGAATGTTTGGGATAGGAAGAGAGGACCAATGAGACACTAGTTAAGGTGAGTAAATAAAGAAGGATTGATGAGGTGGGCCTAGCGAAAGTTACATTCTGAATCACTGTTTTAGTCTTGGAAGGGAAACTTCTTCAATTGACTCGTCAGTCACAATATTGCTTATAGACAACCTAAGGAAATAAGAGGTATTATTCACCTAGCTTCTTTGAGGAGTACAGTTTATGTAGACAATACATGTCCCCAAACTTAATTTACCCAAGTCTAGGATACTTAATACTTTCACCTTATCCTACTGTATATCTCTGTGCATGCAAATCTGGATGATCTCACATCACCTAGAGTTTTCAGTATCTTATTATTTCAGAATCAACCATGATAGGCAATTTTATAGAATGTCTAAGATCTGTTGCTACTTAATCTCTTTTTTCAGAGGCTTGTGATCAGGGGTTTGCTTCTGGAGAAGTTGAAAATGCAAGCTCAACAAGGAAGAGGGGGGAAGTCCTGCAGGAATGATGGAGGAAAACACGTGCATACACACACACGCACACACACTCCACAGACCAGTGTTACTCTAATGATGACCATCATTGAGAAAATTCTTCATAAGTATGATTTGGAGACATTTCATTTAAATGTGAACCTACTGGACAGCAGTTCCTTCAGTGTGTTACAAGCAGCATTAGTTGCAGCCAGATTTCACCTCAAATGAGACACTGGAGAGTGAACATGCAGAAGAAACATTAAACATGCAGTGAATGTGGGAAATCCTTCACTCAGATCATCTCTTATCCAGTATCAGAGGATTCACATAGGAGAGAAGCCCTATGTGTGCAGTGAATGTAGGAAGTCCTTCACTCAGAGATCATCTCTTAACTAGCATCAGAGGATTCACACAAGAGAGAAGCCTCACACATGCAATGAATGTGAGAAAGCCTTTCAAACTAAAGCAGTCCTTGCCCAGCATCTGAGAATTCATACTGGCTAGACCCTATAAGTGGACAGAATGTGGAAAAGCCTTTTGTCAGACTCTGTCCCTTACTAAACACCAGTGGGTTCACACTGGAGAGAAACCGTATAAATGCACGGAATGTGGCAAAGCATTTAACCAAAGCCATTCTGGAGGTAAACCTTACAAATGTGAGGAGTGTGGGAAAGCCTTTCATCAGAGTGCATGCCTCACACAGCACCAGAGGGTCCATTCAGGAGAGAAGCCCCTTGCGTGCTCTGCATGTGGCAAGACCTTCACTCAGCACTCTTCCCATGTCCAGCACGAGAGAACTCACACTGGAGAGAGACACTAGAGGTGTAGCGAGTGTGTAAAGACTTTCTGCAAGCAAGCAAACCTAAATGAGCATTACAGAATTCATACTGTAGGGAAGACCTCACAAATGTGTGCAGTGTGGGAAATCCTTCAGGTACAGTTCTGTGCTGGCTCGGCATCAGTAGCTTCAGGCTGGGGAGTAAAACATGGAATACAACAAGTGGAAAGAGCTGTATGAAAAATGCCTCTTTTCCCCAAGCTCCTTGGAGTTTAAGACTCAGTCTGTAGGTGGGATGAATGTTGTGTATTTTAAACAAGAGGCATTGTGTTTTAAAAGTTAAAACAGTCCTCAGAACTGGTTACTTGAATTTAATTCCTTCTCTGCCACTTATTGGGTGTTTGACCTTATACTTTCTGAGAATGAGTTGTATATGACAGTTAACAGCCATTAGTTGCTTGGCAGATCTAAAAGTTTATAAAAATATCTAAATCTGGCTATTAAAAATGAACAAATCAGCATTAAGTTCTTTTGGTTCTATATTTTTTCTTAAGCACATTCTTGTAATGAGTTATGAGTTCTTCTGTAGAGCTCTATTTAAACTACAACTAGGTGGAATTGAATAATACAGTTTAAGACTGGTTTACCCTTGGGACATATTATAGAGAAAAGAGAAGTGATTGGGATCTGAGTGACACTGGAGTGCATTCCTAGTGGACCCTCAAGGACTTTTGTTTAGATTTTTATGTCCCCAGAACTTCAAGTGTTTTTTCCGTGAAAAGGGAAGCCTCTGCCAATAGCTGTTGAAACTTTGTGTTGTGTTTGGGGGCAGTAGGGATATATGGTGAGGAAAAGGAACATGGTAGCAGATGGGGTTGGAATATATGCACGCTGCTGCAAACATACCTGTACTTGTGAATTCTAGGAACACAATGACAGTCTCTCTTCAGGAAACAGGCTAGGAAACGAGTTCTCAGGTGCCAGCAAGTGATACCACACCCTAACAACCAGCTGCCTGTCCAAGGAGCAGAGTCCTAGGGGGTTGAGGGGACAAGAATGCACTTGGAACCAAGAATGGCTGCTTTAAACTACAAAGAAGTATATAGATGGAAGGAAATTTTGATGGTGCTTTATGTGATGCTATGCTCTTTATATTCAAGCACACCGAGTCTAAAAGCACCCCTGTAGAAAAGGAGTTGTTATTCATGTTCCAGAATAAAGGAAAAAGGGAATAAATCCGACTTGTTCAAAGTCAAACAGGTAAGAGAAGAACTGTATCTCAAATTCAGATTTCTTTTACTCCAAAATGTTCTCTTTATTGTGCCAAACTCACATATAGGTAATTTTCTATCATTGGGACTTTTCGCTTAATATGTGAGATGCCAAATTCTATGAAAGCCATTTGAAAAAAGAGGAAAAAAATTGTTATTTTCTTTCCTAACTTCGTTTTACTTTGTAATTGTGAGAATGTATGCTCACTACAGAAAGCAAATCCCCCCATGGGGTGTACTTATGCTGCAAAATTTACTCCATTTCTTGGTCCTGTCAGGATTTGGGGCATGCATGCACATGTGCCCGGCATGTTTCTCCAGCCACCAGGCTGGGATCGGAACTATGATCAGCTATGTGGGATATAACTCCCTTAACACTGTGCTTTACACTGTACCAGCCTAGTTTTTTGTTTGTTTTCATCTCTTTCCTTTTAAAATTTTGCTGGCATGTATATTTGCTTACAAGGAGACAGAGAAAGCGAGAAAGCACCGAGTGGGGCATGGTCACAAAATTCCTCCTCTCCATCTCTCTCTCCTTTCAGAATTTTGGGCACACACACACATATGCACCCAACATGTTTTTTCTAGCTACTGGGGCCGGGACTTGAACCGTGGTTGGCCACGTGGGATCTTACTCCCTATGTACAGGGCTTAACTGCTACTCTGTGGGACTGGCCCTTACCCAAGTTTTTCTGTGAGTATGATTATCCCCTCTGCTTTTCTGTGTCTTACTACTCTATTACTGGGATGCCTGATATCCATCTTCCTCTTCCAGGCTACGTGGACTCTTGTCATCCTTTAGTTGATGTTCTCCCTTTATTCTCTCCCCAGTCTCAGGCACACCCCATACTCTTCCCCTGTCCCCACATTGTGTAGTGTTGTGGTTCAGTGTCTACTTGTGGCACAGTCACAGCAGGTCTTCCAGGCTAAACGCTTCATGAGTGCTAGGACCACATTCTGTTCCTGTATGAGCAGGACCCAGCATGCAGCCAGGAAGCAGAATACACTCCATAAATGTTTGCTGAAGAAAGAAATCTCTTCTGAGGCCTCTCATGAATTTCTGACCTTTAAGAAGTATGACCAGATTCTTTACTGTTGAATCTTAATTCTCCCTATAGTGACCCTGCATACTCAGGGTCACAGTTTTTTTGTTTTTCAAAATTCTGCTACTAACCCTTAAATAGTCTCTCATTAATAGGAATGTTATTAAAACAAAACATCCAGGACTTATGGAAATGGTAATCATAAACACAACAATGAGAAATAAAAGGGATGCCCCTTCCAAACTCTGGAAATGTGAAATGATAAAGAACAGGTCTATGTGTGTGTTTTAAAGAAAGAATTATCATTGGGTCAGCAGGTGGAATGGAGATTAAGGGGCTGCATCCCACGTGGCCAACTCTGTGGTCTGAGTCCCACACTTGAAAATCATGCTTGGCACTTGTGCATGCATGCCCAGAATCACCAGAGGAGAGCAGAGAAGTGATTGCAGTGTGGCCATTCTCCTGGAAGGATGGTTTCTCTCAGCTTTCTGTCTCTGCCTCTGTCTCTCTCTGGTAATTGCGCACACTCAGAAGAATTACCATAAATAGCTCATAGTTAAGAAGTACATTACTCTGGGGAACCAGCAGTTAGTGTAATGGCTATGTCGCTGGACTCCCACGTAGTCGACTGCGGTTCGAACCCGGACCCAGTGGCTTAAAACTCACGCCAGGCGTGTGTGTGTGTGTGTGTGTGTGTG